TACAATTTTATTAATTTCTTTCTTGATTCTTTTATTGTTCTCTTCCTAATATTAGATGCCAAGAAATTCACAGGATTTGGCAGTCATTTGCTATCATGTGGCAGCCCGCTTCAATGCTTAATTAGATGTGTTTTGGGTTTACATTGTATATCTCCTTCTACATGTCTGAGTCAGTGGGTTCTTTTTATCTTGTGCATGCTGAAGTACTGCCAGAAAACTGCAGCTGGGGCTGTAAAGAGCTCTCTAGGCTGGGAGTCTAGGCCCCAGAACAATTTTGACACAAGGTGAAATTACAAAAAAATAAAATAAACAGGTGTCCTTTTCTTCCCATTAAACATAACTAGTGCTAGAACGTGGGGCTAAGTGTTTTATGTAGTAAAGGATTTTGTGTTGCCAACCTTGAACAGCATCTTTAATACTTAGAAATACAACCGTGGAACCTTTAAGCCAGAAATGAAGAGTGAGGGGGGATTTGATAGCAGCCTTCAACTTCCTGAAGGGAGGTTCCAAAGAGGATGGAGAAAGGCTGTTCTCAGTAGTGACAGATGGCAGAACAAGGAGCAATGGTCTCAAGTTGTGGTGGGAGAGGTCTAGGTTGGATATTAGGAAAAACTATTTCACTAGGAAGGTGGTAAAGCACTGGAATGGGTTACCTAGGGAAGTAGTGGAGTCTCCACCCCTAGAGGTATTTAAGTCTCGGCTTGACAAGGCCCTGGCCAGGTTGATTTAGTTGGGATTGGTCCTGCCTAGAGCAAGGGGCTAGACTTGATGACCTTCTAAGGTCTCTTCCAGTGTGTAGACGCAGGCAGTTACTCCGAGCTAGTGAACTTCTAAAATGGCGACCAGCCGGGAACATGCAAATCAAGCATGGGATATTTAAATCCCGGGCTTGATTTGCAACTTCAGTATGCTTCATTTGCCTTCCTACTTTGAATTAAACTCTAAATAAAGATTTTATATATGAAATTGAGATTACACTAGTAAATGGGATATATGATTAAGGTTCAGTATGTGCTTATGAGCTTTTTCAAATTAAAGCATGAAGGGAAAAAAATTGGCTTGTTGAAATTAGTTCAGAAACACTGGATGAATTAAGATAATTTCCACAAAAATGTATGTGAAAGACACATCAGTCACCCAAATAGCTACAATAAATTGAACATGACAAAACTGAGTAAGTTCAATATTGCAAATAGGTTAAAAAATCACTTCACTACATTGTAAGAAATCTTGTTATAAATATATCTTCGCTTACAGTTTTTATATTTCCATATTGTGTAAATAACTGCATTTCTGATGGTGCATTTAATGTAGAAAAAGTGGAATTTTGTAGATGAACATCAGGTTTATCTTGTAACATGCAAAAACTGAAAAGGTAAATAGTTTGGATAATTTAGATATTTATGCATAACCATAAATTAGTTTTCTTAATATCTTTCAATTTCTATCCCTTCACTTCCAAGATTATTTAAATTAATTAAAAAATTAACTAATTGAAGTCATTTTTAAAAGGTTCAAACTTCTGACTTCAGAGCTTGTATTCCAGCTACTTCATCCTCAAGCTTTCCCAAAATCTCAGGGACACACTGAAACAAACTTAATAATACCTATGTCCCAAAAATATGGACATTGCTTTTACCAAACTGAATGATAACTAGTCTTAGACTTACGTTTTTGAAATGTCACTTGTGACTTTGCTCTCTGAATTCTGAAACAGTGGTTTACGTTCTATTATATTTTCAAGGCTGGTGTTTCCAGATCCTATATTAGAATAATTTAAAAATAGTGACAAAATAGCCAAACAACTCCATATGAATTCTTTCTGGAATTCCAGAAGTCATAGTGTTAGGCAGTGGAACTTTAATATTGCTTAAGGTTTTAATATTTGTTTGAGTTTTTGAATAATTTACAATGTTGATGAAAACAGTCAAACTAGCAAACCTGAAAATCTTCAAAAGATTTGAAGCTATTTCTTTTTCCTATTCAATGCGTGTTGGTCTTGGACTACTACAGAAAAAAAAAGGAATGGGCTAAATATTCTGCCGGTGTAAATCCATGACCTCAATGAATCAACTTACTGACAAACAGTATGGTTCCTCATATTGGGACCTGAACTGGGGCTCCGGAGACCTATGTTCTATTTTTAGCAAGCCATTTTACCTCTCTAATCTTCCATTTCCCTTCCTACTGTTTGTCTGTCTTTATCTGTTTCAATTTCAAGCACTATAGGGCAGGGGTGGGGAACCTTTTTTTGTGTCAGGGGTTGCTGACCCCCAGAAAAATCAGTCGGGGGGTGGGGAGAGGTGGGTGTGGGGGGGGGGGGGACGACTGAAGTGGCAGTGTGGGCTCCCCAATACTGGGGGAGGCCCTAAGCCTCAGGGGCCAGATTCAAGCAACCCAGAGGACACATCTGGGTCCCAGACCTTAGGTTCCCCACTCCTGCTAAGGGGCATCAACTATATATGTTGTATATAAAACTATGTATTATAACGATGTGTTTATGCACTGTCCATGCATAATGGAATTCCAATTGCAGTTGAAATCTCTAGGTGCTACAGTGGTAGTAGTAATAGTAGTAGTTATAGTCATAGTAGTAGTAGTAATAATTTGGTACTCTTGTTTGTCAATATTGAAAAAATAATACACCAAAAATTCACTGTAAGTAGCAAACCTGGAAATGGAGGTTACTCACCTGTATCTGGGCAATCTCTGAGATGTGTGGTCCCTATCCTTATTCCACATGTGGTACATGGGTGCTCCATACACCTGAGACCAAAGATTTCTAGCAAATAGTGTCCTTGCCCATGTAATTGCTCCCCTCAGTCTTTGTACTGAGGGAATAAGAGGTGGTACAGATAGACGCCTGTCCAGATCTTCATCTTGCCATGAATCAGACAGAATCCAAAACAGAGGGGAAGGAAGAGAAGGGAGTGGAATACAGATACAGGCCATACTTCACAAACAACCTCTAGTTACAGGTAGGAAAAATGGTTATTAATCTTTTGTAACTGCTATTCTTTGAGATGTGTTATTCGTGTCCATTCCATGCTAGACGTGCATGCACTGTGTGCACAGTTGCCAGACATTTTTATCTTAGTGGTATCTGTAGGATCAGCACTAGCGCCTCCAAAGCAGCACAAATCTGCACTGGTATAAGAGGTGCAGCCAGCTTTGCAGCCATCAGTTTCTTCTTGCCAATAACTCCAACACAGGAGTAGGAGGGGAGTCATAGAATGGACATGAGTAATGCATCTTGAACAACAGTAATGAAAGGTTAATAACTATTTTTTCTTCTTTGAGTGCATGCTCATGTCCGTTACATGGTAGGTGATTCACAGCCAGTGTCGTCAAAGGTTGGCTTGGAGTTTATGGACATGGTGATTGAAACATCACTCTTCCAAGCTGGCATAATCATGAGCCTGTTGGTGATGGTATAGTGGGACGCGAAGATATGAAATGATGATCATATCATGGCTCTGCAGATGTCCTGGATTGGTATTTGGGTGAGGAACACTGCTGAAAAAGCTCTTGTGGAATGAACCAACACAATGGCTGGAGGCAGAACATTTGCCTGCTTATACTAGGCCTAGATATAGGCTGTTATTCAAGACAATTTAGGATGACACTGGCAGCCCTCTCATACTTTCCACTACTGCTACAAAGTGTTGTGTAGACTCAGTCCTCTCAATGAACAATGAGCCAACATTCCTCTGGTTTTCTGAGGTTTTGGCGAAGCAGATAGGCAGACAATGTCCTGGTTGTTGTGATGCCACCTTAGGTAGAAAAGCTGAATGGGGGTGCAACTGGACCTTCTCCTTAGTCACCATATAAGGGGGTTTTGATATCAGGACTTTGATCTCAGAGACCCTTCTGACCAAAGTGATTGCCACCAGGAAGGCGGCATTCCAAAACAGAATCAGTAAGGAACAAGATACTAACTGCTTGAAGGGTCTTCCCTCAGACTATGGAGGCACCATACCCACTTTCACTTCCCGGAGATGCCAGAGAACTGGTGAATAACAAATGGCTGGAGATTGTCGCAATCGGACCATGAAGAGTTTCTCTCTGAGTGGTGCTAGGATAATGTCATGATGAAACTCACCACTCTTTGATCCCTTCTATCCCTGGTAACCCTAGCTGGTAGGTGATTTTGAGGTGTGGACAGGATCAGGAGGAACATCAAATCCTTTGCTGGACAGACTGGATACTATTGCTAAAAGTGGCATCTGATCCTCCTAGTCAGGAGAGTTGGCAATGCTTGTCACTGCCCGCTTGTCCCTCTTTGGCACCAAAGTGTGTCCTCTCTTAGCATGTTATTTCTTTGTTTCTTCCTTGACCCAAGGGATGGAGAATGCTTAAGGGAAGAACAGTACAGATGGTGTGCTTTGCATGAAAGCTAAACGGTCAATGATGATTCAGAGCAGTTTCGCTTTGAGGCTGGTTTGAGGCCTGGTTCCATGTAAAGCCACCAGGTAGAGCCCAGTGCAGATATAAAAATGTGATCCACATCTGCTGGAAACAATATGCATCTGACCTGCATCTGCACCTTTGCCTCAGCAAGCAGTCTCAGTGCCTCATTCTCAGGAGGACCGTGCATGTCTGTCTGTCTGTCCATCGGATGTTTGTCTGCTCTGCTCCACCAGGTGCTCCAACTATGGAATAGGGTCAGCATAATCCTGCTGAGGAGTGTGGTTGGGGCACAGCTGCTTAGTCCTGCCTGGCACTTACAAGGGAATGGAATCGAAGTGCCCCTATAGAGGAGTGTGGTTGGGGCAGGGTGTTTATCCCATTCTGTCCCACCAGGCGCTCCTACCGGGAAGTGGGACAAGCACCCAGGCCCTGTCCATGCTCCTTCACAGAAAAACTCAAACTCCACTCCCTGGTAGGAGTGCCTGGCAGGGCAGAGTGGGACAAGCACCCTGCCCTGATCTCGCTCCCCAGTAAATGCCGGGCGAGATGTGCACGCTGTCAGGAGGGGAAACTTAGCAAGGTCTGCAATTAGGTGTCTCATTGTCAGGAGCCTTTCATGGGTTTGGAATGCCCTCATACTGATAGTCGAGCACTACACCAACGAACTCTAGTCATTATACGGGTACTAATGCTGATTTCTGTTTATCATCAGGATGAGATGCCCACTTGTCCAATAGAACCATGACGATGTCTTGGCCCTAAGACATGGTGAGCCTCCTACCCAACCAGCCATTGAGATACAGGGAAGACCAGGATACCCTGATTTCTGAGGTGGGCTGCCAAGCATTTTATGAATACTCTTAGTGTTGTCACCAGACATAAGGGGATCATAAAAAATGGATAGTGATGTGGGCCCAATATAAAGCAGAAGCAGCACAGGTGGCCTTCAAAGATCACAATATGGAAGTATGAATCCTTCAAGATGAGGCCAGCATCCCAGTGTCCTGGATCTAGGGAGGGGATGACGGAGGCCTGAGAGACCATGTGGAACTCCAACCTTGCTAGACATGTGTTTAAGTCTTGCAGGTTTAGGATGGGGTGCAAGCCTTGGCCTTCTGAATCAAAAAGTACCTGGAATTTTTTGTATCACCACACCCCATTTGTATATACAAAGTGGGCCAAATGAAACATGCATAAAAAGCTTCTAACTCACTGGTTCTGCTTATACTATTAACATACATGTATCACTTTTGTATTTAAAATTATAGTATTGGCTATGTACTTGTATTTGAAACATTTCCTTCTGGGAGACATCAACAGGAGGCTTGCCAGCCTATTCTAAAAGGACTCCTAGTCAAGTGAACAGAAGTACTTAACTGACAGTGGGCCTTGAGTGGTGCCAATCCATATCTGATGAGCTTTTGTATGAATGTTCCGACTAGCATGGGAGCAATAGGATAGATGAAAATGCTGGCATAGTAGGAGCTGCTTCCATAGTCTGTTCTGTTGTGCACTTTTCCCTGGGTTTGGTCCCCTGGAGGGTCCCAAACAGAGGAGGCTTCAGCTCCTGTGGGCAGATGTTCACCAACGATATCTCTGATTGCACAGATGTTGGTTGGTGCCTTTGGGAATACTGTGCAAATCCTGATGTTGTACAGGTGATCTCCATGGGCCATTAGAAGGTTGGTGGTACCACTGCGTTGGGCAGTGCTGTGTACAGAAGTCCATGACCAGCTGCAATGGCTCCTGGTCAGACTCCAAAGCCCAGGATGGAGCCCCACACTTAGTGTGTCTTGGTCTCAGTTATGTTCATCGCCATGGGCTGCACAGAATCTGTACAGCAGGGATGATCCACTACATGTTCAGCAGATCCATACTGGTATCCTGACAACTGATACCAAACACCTGGCAACAAGTGCTGTAAGTGGGAAACAGATCATGAATGGTGCTGGGATGAGGAGTGTTCATGTTGGACAAAGGCCTGGACCAATATATCAAAGACCGGTACCTGTAATCCCAACAACAGCCCTTAAAAATGCAATTCCGCACTGAGACTGAGTGTCTATCATAGAATCACAGAATCCAGTCTTTGGTCCTATCTACGTAAAAAGCAAGTGCATGCCAAACGTCCATTATATGCAATCTGGCTTCCCGCAATGAAGTATGAGGAGCTGGGTAAAATGAAGAGCGTATAATTGGTTCATTAAGGTGGAATGTCGAGTATACTTTAGGAATAAAGGCTGAACTGCTGTGGAAGCAAGCCAAGATGAGCACCTCATTGTTATTGCAGTTGCAGTAGTGCGAGCTGATGTGTCCACCACATCCAAGAAGATCTGCAGACTCGCTTTTGA